AAACTTAAAGAAGAGAAAGAAAAAACAAAGAAAAAAGAAAAAAAAGGGGGGGGGACCGTACGACATCCGGGACCACTTATCTGTGCGTTCCGGCTGTGCTTGATGAGGCAAATCATTTCTATGTTGTCAGATGCATAGGCTAAAAGCTTTGTTAGCGGGTAATATTATTGTCGTATTGAAACCGGAGTGATTAGAGAGAAGCGTTTGCGTCTTTTAGCGGTCGTAACGCAGAGTGCCTGGGTGTTCATTTATTCCGTATTTTATCGTGTTAAATTTGTAGATAAAATAAGATTCCCGTTGTTCCCGTTCTCTGATTGTTCGAAAGTTGTTTTCTAGTAGAGTAACCCTGATGTCATCAAAGCTGTGGTCTTTTAATGTGCAGTGTTTTGAAAGTGGAAGGCCTGGCAGAGATCGTACATGTGCCCGATGGTTGTCGAATCTAATTCTAAACGGAGTGTCTGTCTGGCCCACGTATTGCTTGTTACATACCCCACATTCCAGGGGGGTATATGACGTTGTCTGAGTCACAGTCTAGTGCACCTCTTATCCTGTGCTTAAAATCCGAGTGGGTGCTTTTCGCCACTGTCGTTGTCTGCATGTGTTTGCATACCCTACATCTGCTTTTTCCGCAAGGGTGACACCCGATTTGAGGTTTCACACCTATCTTTGAATTTATTAAATGATCCTTTATATTTTTCGGCCTTCTGTATACAACACAAGGAGGAGAAGTGAAAATTTTGGATAGTCGCACGCTCTGTTCCAATATGTTAAAGTGTTTTTCTTAGGACCTTGTTTATGTTCGGTGGGTTGCTCGTGAAAGTTAATAGCAAGTTTTTGTTGCGGTGTTGGTCGGCGTTTCTCTGGTGGTTGAGAAGAATCTGGCGGTCCAGATTTTCAGCTTTTTTGATGGCGTCATCGATGATAGCTGGCGGGTATTCTTGATTAAGGAGTACTTCGCGCATATGTGTGCTGTTTTTGTGGAAGTCCTCGGTGCGGGAGCAGATTCGTCGAAATCTGTGTGCTTGGGAATAGGGAATGCTGGTCTTGCAATGTCGCGGGTGGCAGCTTTTGAAGTGCAGGTATTGTTGCCTGTCTGTAGGTTTTCTGTATACGTTAGTTACCAACGCACCATCGTCAACTCGAATGAGTACATCAAGAAAGTTGATTTCAGTGTTAGAGTAGGTGTGTGTAAAATAAATGCTGGGGTGTACCTGGTTGAATGCCTGTATGAATTTGAGCAGCTCGTTTTCCGAACGTGTCCAAATTATGAATATATCATCTAGGTAACGTTTATAGAGTAATGGTTTGATATTACAAGATGAAAGAAAATTGGACTCTATGTGGTGCATGAATATGTTAGCGTAGTTTGGGGCCATTCTTGTACACATTGCCGTACCGCTGATTTGAAGATAGTACTGGTTGTTAAATTCAAAGCTGTTCAAATCGAGTACAAGTCTTGTGAAGATTTCAATTACTTTTTTGCTTGGATAAGCGACAGGGTTGTGTGTGCCATACGATTCAACAAGCGCCCTTACACCATCGTCATATGGGATATTTGTGTAAAGCGAGCTAACATCCAATGTTACGAGAAATGCACCGTCTGGAATTTTCACGTCTGCTATTTCCCGAAGGAAGTGGTTTGTGTCTCGCAAGAAGGACTCATGTGTGGGTGGTATGTCTTTTATTAAAGAATCAATATAACTGGAAATGGGTTCCGTTAACGTTCCCGTGCCTGATATAATGGGTCTGCCAGGGTTATTCTCTTTATGAATCTTCGGCAGCATGTAAAAACGACCAGGCGCCGAATGTACCGTAATAAGTGCCTTTTTAAGCTTTGAAATAATGGCGCCTTCACGTGTGAGATTCTCTAGGGTTGTTACAATGAACTTTTTGTGCTCCGTGGTAGGGTCAAAGTCGAGGTGTTTGTAGAATTGTTTGTTATTTAGTTGTCGCTTGCCTTCCTCAATGTAGTCCGATCTATTCAGAACAACAATCGCGCCTCCTTTGTCTGCTGGTTTAATGACGAGATCTTCGCAGTTGCTCAACGTGATTAGTGCCTCTTTTTCTCTTTTTGATATGTTATTCATGCTTGGTTTGTGCACTTAGTACGCATGTATAACACCTTTTTGAACCGCGTCTATATAGAGATCCAGATGTCGATCTCTGTTGGCGTCTGGGGTCCATTGCCGTCCGATTACCCCACGAAAAGGTGCGTTATCTTTTTCGGGTTTATTAAAGAAATATTCCTCCAATCGTAAATTTCGTGCGAAGTTGTCTAGGTCTTTTAGGAGCGGGAATTCATCATACCTTCCGTTGCCAGGGCAGAATGTAAGTCCGCGTGATAGTATACTCAATTCTTCTTTGCTAAGTTCTTTGTCGGAAAGGGTAATAACGTTTGGCTCTTTGGGGTGTAGTGGCAAATTTTTTTGAGCGTGAGATGATTTGGTATTTTTTCCGTAAGCAGCAGTGGGTATAGCTTGTGACACATTGTCTCACGCAAATTTCTTCCTCTTAAGTTTTTCAATTTCCTCCGTTTTTTTGTGCTCAAATACGTCTAGTTCTTTAGTTTCCCACTCCGAAAGAGAAAAGTTATTTCTTAAATACCGCTCCTCGTCTGTCAGGGCATTTAGAGTCTTTCTACAGTGTTCGATGGTGACCTTCGTTAGCTCCTGTGTGGCGTGATCGAGAACTTCGTTCCACCGTTTCATTTCCCTTTCGGCAAAGTTATGCATCGATGGTGTTTGCGACAAACAAGCGCAGCCCCTTCGGAGCCGTACCCACCAGTACATATTGCTCGAGGCTTTGCACGTGAAGTTCATGTCGTATTCTTTTGTCAACCACTTTTCTAAGTTTAAGAAAATTTGGACCCGTTCTATGGCCTAGGTTGACAAAAGAATACGGCACGAACTTCACGTGCAAAACCTCGAGCAATATGTACTGGCGGGTACGGCTCCGAAGGGGCTGCGCTTGTTTGTCGCTAACACCATCGATGCATAACTTTGCCGAAGGGGAAATGAAACGGTGGAACGAAATTCTCAGTGGTCTCAAGTCAGTATATGCACTAATAATAATAATAATAATATATATATATATATATATATATATATATATATATATATATATATATATATATATATATATATATATATATATATATATATATATATATATATATATATATATATATTCTGCCATGTTCATGTTTTCCTTTGTACTCTTACCTTATATTCATGGGATAATTTTCAGCGGAAAATTCGAAGTTTCCGTGAGTACAATTTCTATTGGCAGTGAACCGTTAATGGCGCTGGTCATGTATACAAGAGTCAAATGAACAGAATTTCACCAATTAGGCTTATGACTGAAATAACGAAAATCGCACGCCTTTTAGTGACGTAGCGTCAAGTCAACTCAAGATGACATGTTTGCAGGGGCTGAGATGAAACGAGCGGAGCAGTTGGATGTCAGCGCTTTAACTGAAACCTTGACATCAGCCTAGAATGTACGTGCTTTAAACTTTTTAGTTTAGTTGCAATACTTCAAAAATATCAGCTGACATTGAACTCAGATCAAATCCTTTCATTTATGAGTTATGATACTACGACAAAGAGGCTGAATTTAAAACTTGTTGTACCATAGATAAAAAAAAAACAAGCTAAGTTTAAAAAGGCTCGAATCTCGGCATCGTAATGCCACAAATCGAGAGCCATATTGTATGGCCACACACGTGGCGTCAACTGTGTTAAGCTTTGACTTAATTTATTATCATTGTTCGTGGAGGTATAACGAGGACAAGGTATAGCGTGGTCCTACAGCTGTCCTCTTAGTGTTGTTAAAAGCGCCACATGCCTTCACTCAATCCATAAGTAATCAAGCAAAAATGTGACCGAGCTATCTGAAACCATGTGCTTCATAATAATAAGGTAATAGTATTTTTCAAATAAATGTAGCTTGCATTGTAACATAGGTGCCCTAAATATAATATTCTAAGTCAGCGTAAAACGCTGTATATACGTTTTAATTGAAAAACAATTCCATAACTTTGTCTGCCAATACAAGCGCACCGAGTGTATGCCGCAAATGCGCTGCTTTTTGCATCAGTGTAATGAGCTCTGCAACTGTTTTGTCTTGTGCGCGCTATCACTACCACACCTCTCTTTCAGGTTGTACAAAACGTATACCGCACGTGTAGAGCCCTCAAAAATGGAGGCTTCTTCAGCGCAGGTATGCTGGAACGTTGTGCAGTTTTTGAATATCGACAGCCCAAGATGCCTGCGCAATAATCTACTGCTTTTGTTGTTTTAGTTAGCGTCATCTGTACCGAAAACGTTTATGTTATTCGACACTCTTGATACATGATTGACCTAAGGACATAAGGCTATATAATTCCACTGCATAAAATTTGACACACACACGGAATCGACGCAAAATAAAGCAACCATCCTTAAGGAAGTCCACTCACACTTATTTCTGTTTTGTGCAGTCTGTATCAACGCATTAAAAAAAGGTGTTTTCGTAAGAAGATAACATTTTAATAAAGAACGCTCAACATGAAATGCAGTCGCTTGACAAATGAAAAAACACATTATTGCAACAAGGCTGCTTCTTAGGTTTTCTACTTGCAGTGGAAGTACGCCTTTCCAACTGCGGTTTTCAGCCGTCTTTTATGAACGCTATTTTCCTGTAGCTGCCCTGAAACGATACATCTAGCTCTTCCGAATGGAAAGGTCAAACCAAAAATTTTTTTCGATGTCGTTCCTACATCCAAGCAATGTGTCAGTGCCCCTTAAAAATATATCTCCGACTGACGTGACATTATTATCGCCATTGGTTGTGGCAGATTTGTAACCTTTAAGAAGTGCTGCAGTGAATACAATTTAGAGTAAAAAATATCTTGGCTTCTACAGATGCAGTGTTGTTCTGTTTTAATTGAGGCACAATTTTTGTTTTACTTACTCGAGGACCCCCGTTTATAGAATGTCGCGCTTGCACTTGGCCTCAAAATCAAAATACTTGCTCCGAAGTTCTTAAGCACCTCTCATTACGCAACGAAGGAGTTCACAAGAATGAGCAAGGCACTCCTTAGACTTCTTCGATGGAGCGCCATTTTCGGTAACTATATCTGGTATTACAAAAGCTGGTGTTTAAGTGCTGCGAAGGTTAAAGTAAATGCCCAATCACTCCGTCAACCATTACTGCATGTAATTTCTTGCATAACAAATCCTTGAAATAGATAATCATATACATAGACCGATATTATCTACCATGAGCTCACCAGCGTATTTCAGTAGAGATTTTTAGAATCAGGGAATGCATGCAAGAAACTTGGACAATGGCGCGTTTTTTTTTTTTTTGGTGGGGGATAATGAAATACCAACTCAACCAACAGTCTGTCCACCTAGTTCTTTAGAAGTAACACATGCGATCAGTATGAACGAACACTTAATAGAGGCAGTTTTTTGCTTGTCACACTCATCTACTAGCTTTGGATTTTGATAACACTAGACAGAGAACTCGCCATGTCTTATTTTTCCTTCATGAACGGAGCATAAGTGAACGAAGGATAAACATGAACATTATCCTTAATCAACTAAGGATAAATATCTCCAATGTACGCTATTTACAATCACCATTTATTTGGCTTATTGTTTTCGTTCCTGAAAGGTCTCAGATTTGGCGGCAGCAGTCCTAGCACGTTCTATATATTGAATAATAATGAAGAATGTAAAAAATGAAACAGCCTTCATATGGAGAAATGTTAGTGTAGTGTTTTATATCGGTCGTACACTTCTGCGCAGCTTTCAATATAAGCGGTAGTACGTAAATACTGATTAAAAATTGTAACTTGACCATTGTAGCTGCAGTTGTTGCATGGATGACATACTTGAAGAACACTAACTTTTACAATAAATTTGTGCGGGCGTCATATGAGGGGTGGAGGTAATACAATACTACCAATGCTTGTTTTTTCTTTCTTTTAGCACTTTGTGATGCCTCTTCGAAAGCAGTCATAAGCAAGAGTGTACCTTGTAAGTTCATTTTGTGAAAGAAGCAGTAAGCGGTCACCCTTTTTTACACTTTGTTTCTTTATCATTTTTTCAATCTTATTACTGCACTTATATTTCTAGATGAAGCAGCTAATAGGCAGATTGAGGCATTGCAGGTTTGAGCAGAAATTTATTCTACTTGATGAAGTTGGTGTTACTAATATTGGAAGCTGAAACCAATGCAAAATAAGTCAAAACTTTGCTGCAAGGGCGAACCATTGAATCTGATAGCAACAAAGTGAACTGTTATAGCACGTAAAGCTAGCAGGTAACTCTTTCGGATTCGTTCTCGTGTAGCTTGAGCACAGGCTTGTTTAAGATGTCGCGTTGCTTCACAAAAGGCTTCACAGGCAGTTCTAAGTGAATAGGAACTCCCGAAACTCGCCGAAAGTTTTAGAATGGTTGCTATCACAGAAAAGCTAGCGTACGTAAATGAGTTGAAATATTGTTTTTGTTTTAGATATGACGCACTTGATACTATCAAATCAGTCGAACCTTCAGAATGTGTTGTTCTTGCCAGTTCCATAGCTTCTATGGTCATGTCTTTGTCAATTTCGAGGTATGTAACTGAATTTGCATGTAATACGTTGCAATCCACTTTATTGATCCCAATAAACACCGGTCCAAATATTTAGTAGCATCCCCTGAGGAAAAAGGGAGGGACATGAAGGAAAGGAAAGGCAGACATGTTAAGAATTCTAGGAGGACTGGTATGCTACCCCACAGAGAGGGGGGAATAACGAGAATTTCAATCATCTCAGTCATTAACAGTGCCTGAACCATAAAACAATATTTATTAGCATACTGCGGACGCAGAAAAATTAGCGTACATTCCTCAGTGGCGCTCATATATTCAATAAACAATTGTATCGGGTCAGTTGGTATGAATCCATTTTAGTAGGAAGCGCAGCCACTATTACACAGAACAGCGCTTGTGTTGTGTGTTCTGTGTAATAGTGGCTGCGCTTCCTACCAAGATGGCTCATATATGGATGGAAGCGAAGCGCTGCATGTCCATGTGCTAAAATTTAAGTGCGCGTTAAAGAACCCCAGGCAGTTAAGTTTTCGAGAACGCTTCGCGGCGTTTTGCCTCTTAACGAAATTGTGGTTCTTTTTCGTGAAAAAATTATAATAATAATAGTAATCGTATGGGCTTTACATCGTAGAACAACAACAGTAATAGAAGAGGCTGCAGTTTAGGGTGCCACAAATTTTCACACGCTGGGATTCGTTAACTTGTCCCTGAATGTAAGCACAGGGCTTTTTGTCATTTGTTGCCGACTGAATTGCGACCAACGCGCCCATCGTTCCATTCTGTGACTTTCAGGTGAGCCGTCAAGCACCATGACCACTCGACACCTGCGGCATGTAAAACCTCAGAACATTATTATTATTATTATTATTATTATTATTATTATTATTATTATTATTACTATTATTATTATTATTATTATTATCCACAAAATGACGACATATAAGTAAAATAACTTTTTAAACTCAAGCTGGCAATAAATGCTACCCACTCTGTTTAGAACGCAATGTGTCACGTGGTCACGCTCGATAGCACGAGTTCGATTCCCTGTCGCAGCAGCCGCATTTCTATGAGGACGAAACGCGAAGGACATGCGTGTTTTCATAGATAGGTGCATGTTTAAGAACGTCGGGTCGTTGGCGTCGGGTCGTTGCTCGTTCCATGTACCGGACGGCACCGTCAAGCCGTGAAGCCAGCGCCAGTCATGAAAACATCGACGACAACCCTGAGCAGCAGACAAGGCTCAGGAAATAAGGTCTATTACCGAAATTCGGGCCTCTACCTGAGCAGACCCGGCAGACCAACACCAAGACGGCCGCAGCAACGATGACAAGCCCTGTGCCGCATGCACTGATCCTGCTCCGGCAACCCGAAAAGACTCCGACCTTCCATGGTTCAGCCCTTGAATGCCCGGAAAACTGGCTGGAGGCATACGACCGAGTCGCGCTTTTCAATACCTGGACCAGCGAAGATAAGCGTCATGATGTGTACTTCGCCTTACAAGATGCCGCTCGCACATGGTTCGAGAACCAGGAGTGAACTTTGACAACATGAGGCACATTACGCACTACATTCCTCGCTACATTCACGGGCGTCATTTTCGCAAGGAGAGGGCGAAGCACTGCTTGAACTGAACCCTGTTTGCAGCTTCCAAACGAAAACGTGGCATTGTTCACGGAAGAGATGACCAAACTCTTCCGCCACGCCAACCCCGAGATGCCTGAAGAAAAAAAAAAGCCCAACCTGCGTGTAAAGCCTGTTTCACATGCGAGCGACCGAGCGGTGCCGTTCGCGGCGATGATTGGCGGGAGGACGCGCGGACGCGCGTGGATGATTCCACGAGAGATTGACACGGGTCCAAAAGTTGATATTTTAGATTTCATTGACTATTTTGTATTTCGCGCACCTCTCACCAGGTAGCCTGAAAGTCAAGTTCGTTTTATGATTAACGGCATAACTTACGAGAAAAAAAAATCACACTTCACCAAAACGAAGGCACCAATTTCGTCACCTGTCATTTTCAAAAATTGCAGATGCTATAAAAAGACAAATATTTTTGTTTCAAGGAAGATATTTTTTACCTGAAATGTATGTCTAATGAAGAATGAATTCGTGTGGTTTCAAGTTTGCAGACCGTAAGAAAATATCTTTTAAAATTGTCTAATTTTGCGACAGTTTAAAATAAATTACGTATTCCTCATTTTCTTTTCTCTGAAAGTAATGAAAGCAGCGTTTTCAAACTTGACACGTTTTAAGGATATAGTGTGTTCATTAGGTACATAAACTATTGCTGCCGTAGGGCAAATGTAAATTTTTATATATTGCCTCGAAATTCTCATATTGGCAAAAGTGAACTCCACCGAAACTTGAATAATAAAGAAAAACCCCATCTTCGATTTTTCATAAAATCTCGTAAATAGACAACCGAAGGCCATCATACAGTAATATAGAAAAACATGTTGCATTATTTTGTTTTTAGCGACAATATTCGTGGTACAAGTCAGAGCTTTTCGAGAATGCACTGATAGGTAGAGAAATCTAGAAATCGTAACGGAAAAGCGGCAATGAGCTTTAAACGCGTATAAACGTGACCTTATTTGGTGAAGAAATGCTGTTTTAGCACTGTGACAAATACGTACCCATGAAGGCGCATTTATGCTCCTGAAAACACAGTGCTAATGGAGGAAATCTTCGACACAGTAACTCAGTTGCAAAACAACTGTCTATATTTGCAGATAAACTCAAACAGTAAAATTTTCCAACGCAAGTGTTGGGTCTCGCTAGAAAAAGCATATGCGCTTGAAGTACCCTCACTGGTATTTTGGTGGTGACTGCGTGAAACAAGAGATGCGCTCAAAATGGCTGCATCTTTTGCAGATCACATTTAGCAGTATACAGTGAAATTTTTTACACCCTTAAGGGTGTAAACTGGCTTGTCGCCAGAGTAACACCCCATGGGTGTTTTCAGATACACCCTACTGAAAGGGTGTTAGCTGAACACCCTACACGAAGGGTGTTCAGCAAAATGCTAGGGTGTTCTTATACTTCAACACCCTTCTAAGAGGGTGTTGAAAGGGTGTGCGACCTTCGAGTAAGGCATTATTCGAAGGTCGCAGGTTCGGTTCCTGTCCATGGCAAGTGATCTTTTCACCCACATTTCTTTCTTCACATTTACATTACAATTCGATCTAATAACTTCCTCTTTACTTTCCTTGGCAATATATATATATATATATATATATATATATATATATATATATATATATATATATATATATATATATATATATATATATATATTTCCGGTGGTGACCGGAAATTATTTTGTAGAACGTAAATCTTTGCTTTTTCGAAATTGTGGTCCTGTTGGTGGAAGTGACCGGCTACTACTTTCGGTAAATTGTGCTTTGTGTCTGCACGGTGGCCGTTCAGTCTTACGTGAATTGGCGGCCCAGTTTCGCCTATATATTGTTTTCTACAGCTGGCACAATCAGAAAAGTATATTAGGTTGTTTAAAAGTGCAGGTGAAGCTC